AAAAGGATTCCAAAAAAAGATGATTATGAAAATAAGGAGCGTTATGGAATGTGTGTTCTTCTACTTTTTAAACCATGGGAAACGGTTCATGATCTTCAGGAAAACTATAATACATGGACCGAAGCTTGTCAAGCTTTTCTCTGTAGCTCTTTGTTATCTCCACGTTTAAAATTTATTATTGACAATATTGAACTATTGCATCGTTGTGCAGAAGAATCAACTTTAGACCATGAACTAAGAAAAAGTGCAAAACATGATTCCATGCTTGCAAAAGCACAACGAATCGATCGTTCTATGTCTGGATATGATGATGATGATGAGTTAGACTTATTTAGTGATAATGATGATAATTTGATAATTAATAACCTCAATGAACATTCAAATGATTTTAATCCAGCGGCAATTGTTCGGTCTGGTTTAAAAGATGTTCATCAAGTAGATAATGCTATAAACTTTTTACGTATTCGGGGAAGATTTATGAGCAAAGCCAGTACAGCGTCAACAATTCTTAATAAATTTGATGCTAGTGATTTTAATCAATTTGATAAAAACCTAGTCTTTAATAATGATAATATACGCATAAGCAATAACTATGATAACGACCTTTTAAAAGATTGGCAAATAACAATTACCTCTCAAAAAAGAATACAAGATAATAATGCAGTTGTATTAGAAAGTAATAATTTATCAGAAATAAATATTAAACACTCCTATAATACTCGAAATAACTTATCTTGTAAACCAGGTACTTTAAACGATCTATTAGAAGATTTTTCTGTTGGATTAAATAATGAACAAAAACAAGCTTATTTTCTTATATGTGACCATAGTCGTCGTAATCAACCAACTTGTCCGGACAAACCAGCTCAACTATTACTTTATCTTACTGGTGCAGGCGGAACCAGAAAATCTAAAGTCATAGATAAAATACGTTCTTATTTTGAATGCACTTTTCAACAAGATACGCTTATTGTATTAGCACCGACTGGTATTGCAGCGGTAAATATTTCAGGTAGCACTATTCATTCTGCATGCAAATTTGGTTTCGAAGAATATACTAGCACTGACTCAATGAACAATGAAACACTACAAAACTTACAAGAAATTTGGTCTAAAATTGAATATGTAATTTTAGATGAAATTTCAATGATAGGTCAGTCACTTCTCGCACGATTTCATTCCTTTGCAAAAAAGGTAAAAGCGACAAACAGTTCTGCCCCATTTGCTGGACTAAATATTCTTTTTTCTGGTGACTTTATGCAATTACCTCCTGTTTTAGATCCGGCGCTTTATGTACCAAATAAAATAAAGCGCGTTACTATGTTATCAGATAAATCAATTGATGATGATATAAAAAATTCAAAAAAAAGTAACAAAAGAAAACATGATACTAATTTATCAATCAGTAATCATACGGTAATGAATGCGCTAGGTAGAGATCTCTGGTTAAATGTCAAGCATGTTATTCAATTGAAAAAATCAATGCGTCAAATAAATGATCCCTTTTATGCTGATATCCTCAATGCTATACGTAATAGGCAACTAACTGATGAACATCAAATAGCTTTACATTCTAAAGTCCTTGGAGATGACAGAATTAATCAACCAGAATGGGCTAATGTTACATTTCTTGTCTCTAGAAATGATATTCGTATCCAATTAAATTTTGATGCAACAAAGGAACATGCTCAACGCCTTCAACAACCTCTCTTGTATTCCTGTGCAAAAGACACTTATCATCGAAATCCTCTAACGGGAACTAATCGTTGCAAATTTTTATCAACACCTGATTCAAAAGAAAATTCACTTTGCGGAATTTTACCTCTGTTCATTGGAATGAAGGTCATTCTTACTATAAATATTTGTGTCACCAATAATTTAGCAAACGGCACTTTGGGTATTATTAAACAAATCATTTATGATAAAGAATCAGTTTACTCGTTTTCACAAGGAGAATTAATACTAAAAGCTCCTCCGAAATATGTAGTTATAGAACTAACTGACAGGTCTCCTGTTATATATAAAGATTTACCAATAAATCATGCTCCCATATACCCTGTCAAACGTGGATGCACCTACACTGCTTGGAAGCGTGATGGAACTAAAATTCAAAAAAAATTTCAACGTTTTCAGCTTCCTTTAACCCCAGCTTATGCATTCACTGATTTTAAATGTCAAGGTCGAACTCTTGAAAAAACAGTCATTGATCTATCATGTAACAATGTATGTAATAGCGCTTATGTAATGTTATCTCGAGTACAAAAGCTAGATGATCTTTTGATCTTACGACCTTTTAAAGATTCTATATTAGATACAAAACTGCCACCGACACTTCATACAGAACTAATTCGTCTTGAAGAATGTCAACAAAAAACTATGCAACTAGAAAAGTGGCCAAATATGTATATTAACAAATAAATATAGGTAGTAATAAACTTAATCATTAGTAAAAAAAAAAAAAAAAAAAAAAAACAACTATAATTACTATAAATTAATGTTATTTTAAACCAACTATTAAATTTGAACATATAAATACCTATATAAATATCTTAATCAAAATTATATTATTATAATTAATAAAATCCTCATAAACTTTACATTTCAACTTAATATAATTATCATATTTATTCTGTTAGACCTTTAAAATTTAATCATATAACTTAGAAAGAAATTACTCTATATAGTCGTATTCGTATAATACAAATAACACGTTTAGTACTTAACCTACTTATATTATCTTCCTATAATTATCAAAACAATATACTTATTGCTCTTGTATCATTTCTATATTCATTTATTAGATTTATTAACTAAAACTAGAACTACTTACCACTTCATGTGTATAATGTAACCAAACATAATTTTAAACCATTCCATCATCCTGCTAAACTTCACAACATTGCTAAATAAAGTTCACTGTCTTTTTTCAACACACTCCCATTAAAATTCGGCTATTAATGACTACACATATGCATGACCATACGTATATGTATGCATACGTATATGTATGCACCGGTATGTAATTGCAAGTATTAATATATCTACTCTTACTAATAATATGACAAATAAATAAGCTGATATACTCAAATCATTCTCCTTTACTCATACAGCATTTAGTATTTAAATATTGTCATATATTAATCTGATCAAAGTATTTAAGATAGGCACTACTTTTCTTACTCATATTAACACTTTTTGTTCAATCGCGTATTTATTAATCAAAGCATTTAACTCACTCGTTTTAACTTTTTTTCCATAGTATTCTCAAACATCTCACACAATAAATCACACACAAGATTCTAACTAAAAATAAATCCATCAAATAATATGAAAACACTAATCCTTTTTAATCTACGTAATAATGTAATAATCAAAATGCGACGAACATCAATAAATAACCCAACTTAACACGCGCATATAGACTCATACCCGTTTCGAAATATTCCCCTTATTTATACTTCAATTATATAAAATATTTCAAAAAAAAAAAAAACTTATACATCCTTACTCGCTTTCATTATCAACATCTATCTTAAAACTAGACAACCTGGTGTTATGAACTACTTTATGAACAGCTCGCTCTTTACCTTTCTTATTACTACTCTTAAACTTTTCTTTACGTTCACTAATTTTCTGATTCCCATCCTTATTATCTTGTTCAATTTCAATCAAATCATCATCCGCCTCGTTATTTACTAACTCGTCATCAACACCCAAACTATCAACATCACCACCTATTAACATATCTTCACTAATTTTATTTGCGCTTTCGATCTTAACACGCTGTAACACATAAAATTATTTAATTATAAAATAAATAACTGAAAATCAGTTAAATATCAAATATGAACCTTAAATGTTTCCTCAACCCCTTTACTAATATTTTGATGAATCGACAAGAGTTTAGACCAAGTTGACTTTGTTGATGACAGAATTTCCCCTTTACTAATCTCATATTCTCTTTTCTTAATATTAAACCGAGTATCTACCCAATTAATATCCTGCGCATAAACATAAATGTTGTTGTCTATAAACTCTAACTGGCCAACAACAAAAACCACTGTTTCACTCGGACGAATATGACTTGTTAATCCTTTAAACCGTGATTCTAAATATTGAAATACAACAATAACTATAAAATTGTAATCTCGACGAGAATAATCTGTCACCATAACTTTAATGATTGCATTTTCTCCATGTTTCAAATCAGACGCCTCTTGAACAATACCAACTAACGAAACTTTCAACGGACATTTATTTGATCCAACAACTTTACTAAGAATCTTAAGATGTGTAGAAGTCGAAACCGTCATCTAAAAAATAAACTTAATACAATCAAATAAAACTAAAATTTTCGATACTCAATAATCTAATCTCATAATATTATTAATAAATCAAACACTTAAAAAAACACTCAAACATTATAGCAATCAAATAAATAAAAATAAAATTACCCTTGGCCTTATACTATTATTATAACGATCAGGTACAACTTTACCTCTGACAGAAAAATATTCATCCTTTTGAAAAATCACTTGAGAATCAGGATCTCTCTCTTCAAAATTTACTGGCACAAATAAAATTAACTCAATCTCACTATCTTCATCTCCAACAGGATAAGAACCAATAGCCCATACTACTAATAGATCATCTTTTTCAGTTTCTCTAACGACCTTAATTTTTACAATCGTATCCGCATTACAAAGCATAGCTTAATAACTTTTTTTTTTTTAAAAAATAAAAAATTACAAAAATGTCTACTTTTTTTAAAGAATTTATATTCAATTTTTACATAAAACCTTTAAATAATAATATGCTTATCAACAAAACTATAAACACAAGCGACCTATATAAAACACACCACGTAAAAATATGTTTTTACATATACGTATATTATCTACAATACATATACGTAAATAACTATACATCATCAAACTTTCCATTTTATTGATTTGATGTATAAACATTTATCTTCTAATCAAAATACATACGTAATAGAATAACAATATTTGAACTATTTAATAAGCTATGTTTATCTCATATTATACCACATCTATAACGATTTTACTAACTCATCTTTTAACTTGCATTATTGTATTAAAATATTACACGTATTTGTTACATCTACAATTTACAACTCATGAAATAAAAAATTCACGAAACACAAAGCAGTTAGCAACTCAATAAATTATATCAATACAAACGTATGTCATACAATAAATAAACGGTAATCTAATACGTATTGAATGTATATCAATGTGGCTCATTAACCATAACTGCCGCAACAAAATTGTCCCGGCAGATCCCCAATTTTGA